TTCTGTCCTCTTTTTCCTAAATCCCAACTAGGGTTTTCCATCTTTGAGTATGACAAGCTAGGGTTTTCCATCTTCTGACTAAGGTATGACTACTTTATTCTTTGTTTGTGTGTTATATATGGGATTTAGAATTTTTTCTTGTGTGTTTCATATGTAGGGACAAGCTATGCTTTGTTAGAATCCATTAAAGAGTGATATAGTCTATAATATCTTTTTGTATTTTACTACACTAAAGAACAAAATACATTCAGTTAATTTGATAATTTTGATGGTTTTTGTCAGATGGTTGGGTCTTTTTGTATTTTAATACATTAATTTGATAATCTTGGTCAATATTTGCTCTTTTTTTGTCTACGTTTTGAATATGACTTTATATATACTGATGTGGTCCCTTCTTTGTCCCTTTTTCTATACCTTTACATGTGAAGTCCGTTGAAGATGATTGATAAAGTGGACTTGGTATTTCACTATGGGGGTAACTGAGTCTTTTTCCCCGAGATAGTATATAACAACATGTCGGTGCACACTTTGTCTGGTTATGTCTCTTATCTTGTTAAATATGATTTTTTTGTGAAGAGTTTACAAAAAAGTTAGGGTTTAACTCTGTCAAACAACTATTAGTGACTGGACCTTCGGGGAGGTACTACTTGGTAACTGATGACGAAGGTGTGAAGACTCTTCAGTGCTTGTTTTCTAAAGACTTCAAGGTGATTAATTTCTTTGTTGTTGATGAGTCTAACTTAAATGTATTTGCCCAAAATATTACTCATCATACAGAGACATATTCTACAGACATTGACGTAGCTTTTGAATGTGAACATAGTCTTGGGGGAAGTGATTTTGACGAATCAGATTGTTTTAAGGATAATTCTATAGAACTTGATGGCATTGTCGAAGAAAGAAAGATAGTTGTAACTGATAAGTTGGAACATTTTAAGGATTTAGAGGTAGGTATGATATTTAAGGATATTGTAGAAATTAGAAGGGCAGTAAACTTCTATGCAATGGTAAATAAAAAAGGGTTGAAATTGCTCAAAACTGATACGACTAGGGCTAGTTACAAGTGTGCTGAAGGCTGCCTTTTTAGACTGTATATTTCAAATGATAAGAAGTGTCCTACCATTAGAATCAAAATATTGAAAGATGAACATACATGTGATCCATGTTTCAAAAATACTAGGGCTGATCAGAATACTTTGGCCCAATTTTTTAAGAAAAAGGTGCAATACAATCCTAAGTACAAGTTACATGATATGAAAACTGAGTTGGAGAGTGGTTTTGATTTAAATATGTCCAAAATTAAGCTCAAAATGTCCAAGGGTTTGGCTCTTAAGAAGTTAGAGGGCAGTTTTGTTGATGACTATAACAAACTCGAGGCATATGGATAAGAAGTAAGACAATCTAATCTGGGCAGTGATGTTGTGATCAATTTATCAAAGAATTCTCTTGAAGAAGGGAAAATAAAGTTCTTAAATATGCTTCAATGCATTGAAAATGGGTGGAAAAGTGGCTTGAGACCACCGATTGGGCTGGATGGTACCTTTCTTAAGGGTAGATTTAAGGGTTAGTTGTTAGTGGCTATTGGTCAAGATTGTATGAACAATTTTATCCTCTTGCATGGGCTGTGGTAGACAAGGAAACTACCAGGATTTGGGGTTCATTTTTAGAGTGTTTGAAGCTTTCTCTGGAGCTAAATGATGGACAAGGAGTGACTTTCATCTCAGATATGCAAAAGGTAAACACTATAACTTTCATTGTTGATTTCTATTATTCTCTTGTATACACTTATATATTTTACCTTTTATGACTGCTTGTTCCTGTTTTATCGTAGGGTTAACTAATGTTGTGCAGAATATACTTCCTGAAGCTCATCATAGGTATTGTGTAAGACATATTGAGGCAAATTGGCAGAAGAAGTGGAGAAGTAGACATATAAAGAAGTTGTTGTGGTGGTGTGCTTGGAGCACTTATGAAGAAAATTTCAAAGATCAACTAAAAAAGATGGGAGGGCTATGTGTGGAAATTTAAAGTATGACAACTTCTTATTAACTCATTCTTTGGATGACAGAGCAAAGATGGTCCAGATATTGACGATGAGGAAACACAACAATCTGAAACTGAAGTACAAACACAACAATCTGATTACTCTTCTCAAGTCACAATACAACAATTACACGCATATGGTCTAGATATTGACGATGAGGAAGATCCACCGTTGAGGCCACAAATCATCTCTGAGTCACAATCAATACTTAAGGAAAGAAGGCTGAAAGCAAGACTACCAACTGGGAGTAGAAGGATTCAATTTACTGGGGGTGCAGATGGAGTTTCTATGCCGACAAACTTGCCTTACTCACCAACTAAGGCAACTTGGAAGGGGAAAGCTGCAGTTACACTTAGCCAGCTCTAAGCTGAAGTAAGAAAAAAGAAAAAGAAGATGGAGCCAAATGGGGGAGGAGTCCCTGTACCAAATGCTGAAATTTAGCATAAGTTGGCTAATTATTTTTGTGAAAAACTTAAGGAACTTAGCTTATGGATGACTATTATGCACAAAACTATTAATTTTTGGTGAATTTTATGTTGGTTTAACTGATATGCATATTATCTTGGTTTGGTGGATATGAATGTCTGTTTGTTTAACTATATTTCAGTGTGGCTATGTAAATATGTGATTATTCAGCAGTGTTGCTGCCATAACCATGTAGTTATTCAGCAGTATTGGTACTATAGCAGTGTTGCTGCCGATCCTTGCAATATTTACTAGTCCAAAGATAATACATCTATTTAGGTTCTAGTATCAGTAGTTAACTACTTAATTCCAAGTTAGATGAGGGGACCAAAGACATTACTATTTCTTGATGTTTCTAATTGTCGGATTGAAGTCACAGATTTCTTTAATGGCATATGGTTTGTCCATGAAGTGTAAGCTAGCAAATATATGAAGTAGTAGAAAGAAATACTTGTTTTGTGTGGATCATCCTAAGTGATGACAAAACTACAAAATGACTTGTACAATTTCTAACAGGGGACCAATAACTCTTGTTCAAGATGAGTTAACACTTAGCTGATCAACAAAAGCATTTTAATCTCACAAATGGTCTTTTTTCCACTGTTTCATTACAAGGCCTCCTTAGCTGATCAATAGAAGCAGGTCCAAGATAATGTGCATAACCAGATTACAAACTTTTGCAATTATATGGATCACATTTTACTCCCTGATCTTAATGTTGCTGAGCAATTACATAACCCCAGAAAGTTCACGCAATGCTGCTGAGAAATTACTACCATAGCATTATAATGTATTTAAATTACAACCATATTTTCAACCATTACATCAGAAATAATATATTGCATATTACAACTATTTTCATCCAACCATTACAATACAATGCATCTAAATTATACAACTAAAATAACCATAAGTAATTACAACCATATTTTCAAGTCTCCACTCAAAATATGAAACTAACCACAAATCCAATAATGAAACCCAAACACATAAGAAATAATTTTTCCCCATGTTTCCAAGTCTTTCTTTAAAAAGAGCATCCTTTTCCCTTTTCAATTTGTTGATGACAATAATAGCTCTTGGTGGAAATTCATCGTCTTCCCATTCCCAATAACCACATCCAGTTTTCTGCAAATAAAACATTAACATCATAACAAAAATCGATTACAAATATGCCAAAATCTTTGATCCAAATCTGTCGGAATAAGCATTAATTAGAAAAAAAATAGAAAAATTACATCAGGTTTATGACACCTGAAAAAGCGTCTTCCGGGATTCATTTCAGTCCGCGATGTGAGATGGAGTGCAACAACTTCACATCCATACATCCTTCGACGACTATTTGAAGAACTCGAACATTCCGACATTTCAAAGCAAATGAAAGAAGTAAGAGAGGAAAGTGAGTGGATCAAACAAGATGGAAACGACCTGTTGGATTGAAAAATTAAAGCATAAAAGAAAGAAAGAGGAGTAAGAAGAAGAACCCAGCCAAAAATTTAAAGTCGTACCCTTTTTTAGGGAAGAAAGAAAGAGGAGAAAGAAGAAAATTTGAGGGGAGACCCGTACCTTTTTTCAGAAAAACTCATCAATTAGACAGACATTGACGCAGAAGGAAGGAGAGATGGAAAGCCCAAGTTGGGATTTAGGAAGAAGAGGACAGAAGGAAGAGGGAATGGGGGTGGGCGAGAGACGTCTGTTAGGTCTTTTAGAAATGGGCGAACAGAATAGGGGATTAAGTTTGGGTCTTTTAGAATTAGAGATGGGTCGGTAGCCTCAGGCTTGAGAAGGGTCATCGTTCCCGGTTGTCCCATGTTTCTTGTATTTCTGCAGGGGGAGCCCAACCCCACTAATGCCGTGTTTTAGGGTTACAACGAGCTGGCCTCTGAGAGACTAAGTTGAGAATAGCGCTCGCTATCTTTCCAGCCATAGGCATATCTGCTTACTTATCTAGGATCAAGGGCTCTTTACTAATATAATATCATACAGGACACTTCCTTGAAGAAAGCCGTACTCCCATCAGCTTTCAAGTAGATAAAGAAGCCTTGCCAGCCGGTAATAGCCGAAGGCAAAAAGGGGGGAGATAGGGAAGAGGAAATTAAGGATAGTCACTCCACTCCATAGATAGTGTCGGGTTCGGTATTAGTTAATTAAAAAAAAAGAAAATGTTGGTTCCGTCTAATAAGTGCATGGATGCACAACTATTGGACGGTTTGGACATATTTGGGCCAAACTAATAGCGACAGACATATTTGTCCTAATTTGGATAGTTTAATGGCATATTTGGACCTTTTCCGTAAAATAAATGAGGCCTCAGTATCCTAATAACCCCTTTGATGTACCTATTAAAACAATCTAACTAGCTATATCCTTTAAAGTTTAAACTAAACAAATAAAATAAAAGAGAAACAAGAAAATAGAAGAATAAAAAGAAGAAACCAAAAGAAAAAAGGGAAAATGGTGCATAAAAATTATCGTCTTTCTTTAAGGCGTACACGAAAACACCTTGAAATGGGAAACGGCGTTTAAAGCTGGGGTTGCAAATACAGGTAGATAGAGAAGCTGAAGAAGCAAATAGCAGAGGCAGCAGATGCAGTGCCCCTCCTGACACTCTCCCCATAACCTACACTCCCACATAAATACACACCAAAATCCTATCTGTAAAAATCTTTAATTTTTGTTTTTTGGGTATGTGTGAAAAAATGACAAAAAATATAGCAGCTATTTATTGAACCCAATTTTCCCATTTCACTCTTCACTCTTTCTCTATCTCTCTCTCTCTCTCTCTCTCTCTCTTTTTATCTTCAATCAATTCCCGATCTTTCTTTTGTAGCTGAAAAAGATTTGCATCTATAAATTATTTTAACTATTTTCTTGTGGGGTTGCTCTTTTGGGAAGTGTTAGTGGTTATGGCGATTGCAGCAGCAGCTGTTATCGTTCCATTGGGTGTTCTCTTCTTCATTTCCGGTCTTGTTATCAATCTTATTCAGGTAAAACTCTTGATTCCCACGATTTGGGTATTTTTTAATTGTGTCTTTTCTTTTTCTTTTTGGATTAGATTTGTCTGGATTTGAGGGTACAAACAACTTTTCATTTGACAATGTTGCGATCTAGTTAAGCAATTAATTTTATTACTTGGGAATTGCTATGTAGGCTATTAGGTTTCTGGGTTTTCTCTCTCCTTGAATGAGATTTTTTTTTTGTTTATTTTTTTGGGGTTTTTTGATTAAATGTTAAAAAATGAATTACATGTGAGTTTCTGCTTTTTCTGGTTCAGGCTTTGTCTAAAATTGGTGAAGGTAATGGATTGATTTGTGGTTGTTGGTTGTATCACAGGCTACTTGCTTTGTCCTTGTACGGCCAATTTCGAAGAGCACATACAGGAGGCTTAATAGAATCGTTGCAGAGCTTTTATGGCTGGAACTCGTGTGGATTGTTGATTGGTGGGCTGGTGTAAAGGTAATGCACCTATGATATATGTCAATATATGTATGAACTTTTGTAGAATAAAGGGTCGCTCTTCCATTGTTTGGAAGCAAGCTGAGTTTTGTTGCACTGGTGTATGTGCTCAGCTTAGCTTATGATGTCTATTGTCACATCCCCTCTCCTCCACCAAAAAAGAAAAATCGAAAAAAGTAACTCCCTGCATTCCAGCTTATGTGATACTATTTCTATATTTGGAAGCAATTTAACTTTGTACTTCCCATTCTATTGTTAACAAGAAACTTTTATAGCCACACAAATGTTATGACATGTTTAAGACCACAAGTTTCAGAAGTCTTCATTTCTTTCTTAAAAGATGTTTCTATGTTTGCATATATTGGAAAGGTGGGAGTAATAAAAGAATAAGACATGGAAGAATAGAAGAGGAACAAGCTATATTCTCTTTTGATGTAATCCCGCTACATTAGGACTTCTATTTGACGTCTCAAGGAATAAGAAATTGCGTGCTGCAAACTGAGACCACTATAAGCTGGGATGAGAATTGAAAGAAACAAATTGATGAGAATCCTCATGATTCTAAAAATCACTAATGAGAGTGTGATGGTCAGCCTAAATGTTTGATTCTTGCTTGAGTATAAATTTTACGACATTATTTACTCTGTAGTTGGTCTTGAGTTATTAGTATTGCAACCTGCATTACAGTTGGCACTGATAGCAATTAGCTAGAAATGAGTCCTTTTTGGTGGTATGCTTGCAGTTTTATCTGTTGCATGCTGTCTTTTAAGCTTTGTTATTTATTTACAAAGTACTATATGTGCAAATGCAGTGATCTCATATATTTCTTTGCAAGGAAGGGTATATCCAATTGCCTTATACTTTATTATCAAAATGGTCTAATTGTCCTATGCATCTGAGAACATGTCTTTCAGCCTCATTTTGGATCACAGCCTCATTTTCTGTCAATATGAACTAAGATGTTATGGTATTACTTTAACATTTTTTTTTTCTTGTAATAGCATGGGTGTTTCTTTCGATCACTCTCTACACGGCCTATAGTGATTTCAGTTTATCTACACGACCCTTAGTGATTTCAGTTAGCTTTGTGATCCAAATGAAAGTTTAGAGAGACCAATATGCAAAGTTTTGGAATTTTCGTGGTTAGAAGCTAAGCTGACATCGTAATGTTTCAAAAGCTTTCAATATAGGATTTGTTCTTGAATGTTTAATACCATGTGATCTGTATTTATTCATCATTTTATTTAAAGACATCACTCTTCAACTTCTTTGAAATATTCCAAGTCATACTTTTGCAATTGCAACGAGGTTTCCTTCCCTCGTGCCTCTTCTTATTTGAGTTTCTTATTCTTCTTTTTTATTGGGCCGTATACTGATTGCATTTTTATCCTTTATTTCTTTTAAAATGTTGTGTTGGTGTGTTGGGAAAATAAAATACCTCAACTTCATTTGAGCTATGAGAGACATGATTGAGTTATTATTTTTTTTTGAAATTGGTAACATTTATGTATTAGATATAAACATGACTACACTAATTCAGTGTAGTCATCCATAATTACAAAAGGGAGTACAAAGAGAGATAGACTAAGTCTCTATAAAGCTCATAAGAGGTCTAAAACATCAAAAATACATTCACTCTCTTCTAAGCACTCCTGTTTACACCAAAAATAAAAGAGCGTAAGGCAGCTCATTTTCAACTTTTGTATTGTACTGTGTGTATCTTCAAAACATCTTAGATTCCTTTCTTTCCAAATTGTCCACCATATACATGCAGGGACAATCTTCCATCTCTCCTTCCGGCCAGACTGCATTCCATCTCTTTTCCAACTTGTTAGAACTTGCCTGATTCTCCCTGGCATAACCCATTTGATTCCCCTCAGGTTGATGAATATCTTCCAAATTTGATCTGTGACACTGCAGTGCAAAAAAAGATGGTTGACCGTCTCCTCGTGAGCTTTACATAAGTAACATCTGGACCCTAACTGATATCCTCTCTTAGTGAGATTATCTTGGGTTAGGACAACTTCTCTTGCTAGAAGCCAAACAAAACATGCCACTTTCTAAGGTATTTTAACTTTCCAGATCATTTTCCAAGGCCAACAACCAATCTGATTATTAGAATGGTTGTACTCCTTGTAAGCTGATCTAACAGAGAAAATTCCTTCTTTCCCCCCTTGCCAAAACAACCTGTCTTCATTGTTGGTGGTCCCTCTAAACTGTTCTAGAGTGTTATAGAAATCTGTCAGCCTCTCAATTTCCCAGTCATATAGAAATCTTCTATATGTAAGGTTCCATCCTTGACCTGTCCAAAGTTCTCCAACAGAAGCTCTTTGTTGTTGATTCAGGTTGTAGATGTCCGAGAATAGTTGCTTTAAAGTTCTCTGTCCAAGTCATTTATCTTCCCAGAAGGATGTTTTCATTCCATTTCCAACTCTGAGACTGGAATTGTTTCTGAACATTGGCCATTGAGTTATTATTTTTGACTTGTTTTTCAATTGGGTTTTCTTTTTATGCATGTCTTATGAGAACTCTTTTTTCATTGATGAGGTTTTCTGTTTGCAGATTAAAGTATATATGGACCCAAAAGAATTTAATTTAATGGGTAAGTTAAATTTATTTCAATTTTATGCTGCAGATCTTATGATAATATTGTCATTTGCTTTCACGTGATTGTTATTATTGGTAAACATTGATCTTTTCAGGTAAAGAACATGCTCTTGTCATTGCAAATCACAGAAGTGACATAGATTGGCTTGTAGGTTGGATCTTAGCTCAGGTTTGTATTGACAGTCAATAAAGTTACTTGGGATACATTAGAATGTTCTAGATTCATTCAATATGTTTAGGTTAGTAGCATGAAATATTCTTCTCAATTTGATATAATTAGGAATCTCCACATGTAGAATTTCCTTTTTAATAACTTTTCTTACTTTATATGTCTATACTTAAACTTATTTCAGGTTGTCTAAACTCTTATATAAGGAACTATCTTGTATATCTTCTACAACCAATTCAAGTTCCATTTTATTTGTCCTCTATTTTCAAAGTTTGGACCACATTCCGCAGGGATTGGATACCTATGTGTTGAATGTACCCTTAAGCTAGGCGATGTAATATATAAATGTGTGCTTGTCACCCCTATTTGCATTTATGCATGTTAACTATGAATCGCTTGGAAACAAGTAATTTTGGAGGAAGTTTAATCTTACTACGGAAGTTAATTAATTTTGAAAGATGCTCTGATACATGATAAAAATATGGTCTTTTCATATTATAAGTCATAGCTGTTTTTCATTTGACCTCTGCTTATCAATTCTTGGATCTTTCAATTGCAGCGATCTGGTTGCCTTGGTAGCTCATTAGCTGTAATGAAGAAATCATCAAAACTCCTTCCAGTAAGTAGTTGAAGAAATATTATGAAGATTTTGCATCTTTTTAAGACTGAATCTTGTTTTTATCCATTGCCCACCAATTGCTTTTAGAATGTATGGAGCTCTCATCCAAGATGGTGTTGGTTAATAGTATATTTTTCTGGTTTCCACAGCTCGTGAAGTTTACTGTGCATAAAAGTACAAAGNCCGACCCACCTAGTCTCCTGGACACACGCTACATTAATCTTCCTCTTCTGCAGGATTTTCGCCAGCTCTATGGATTTACTAGTTAGTGAACCTATGTTCCATGATCCGATTCTCAAAGGAACCTATGTTCCATGTTCCATAAAAGTACAAAGGAATTGATGATAAATTAGATGTTTATTCTACTTGCAAAAAAAAAGGATGTTTATTCTCTGCTGTAGTATTAGTTTCAACCTCGAGGGAAAGAGGCTGTTATCTTCATTTATTTGAATACAGTGGTAGAAAGTCATGATGATGCCTGGAATTCGGCTCAGTTTTTTTGTTGGTGAAGGTGATAGACCTGTAATCTTTTTTGCTTGAATTTCTTTGAAATTGCTTCCTCCAAACCCAATTTATGTGACCTCCTATCTGGTTTGACAATCAGAAAATGTTATACGTTATTTCACTAATAACATTATGTCATACAACTTTTACAGAGTTACAAGACTTCAAATTCACATAACTAGTTAATTTTTAAACTTTGATACGGTGTTTCTCTATCAAAAATAAATACTTTAATATTTTGTTCCACTACTACTAACAAATTACGTAAGTCAAGTTAACATTTTAAGTTCCTTATCTAGTCAAACACCATCAATAAAATGGCAAGATGGAGTATATGCTTATTGTATATGTCTCTCTCTTGGTTTATGTCCGTGCAGTTGATTTCCAGAGTATGATCAGTAATATCGTGGATTCTGCAGGTAATTGGTTGGTCCATGTGGTTCTCCGAGTATCTTTTCCTTGAAAGAAGCTGGGCCAAGGATGAAAGAACATTGAAGGTATGGTTAAGCCAGATCACTTGCAGACACATTTAAATATAAATTTGGGCATCCTAATTCTTTAAAAGCTGTGTGGCCACAAGGAAGCAAATCAAAGATAGAGTTGTCTATATGCTTTTATTTGATGCATAACACATATTTGGATATACTTTCTGTTTCCTTTGGCTCATTGATGTGAGTTTTGGTGTCTGCTTTTATTATTCCAAATTACCCTGACTGTGATTTTATACATTGGGTGTCCGATCTGCAGTCAGGTCTTCAACGGCTAAGTGATTATCCTTTGCCTTTCTGGCTGGCACTTTTTGTTGAAGGCACCCGCTTTACACAAGCAAAGCTTTTGGCTGCTCAAGAATATGCTACTTCAGCTGGGTTACCTGTTCCAAGGAATGTATTGATTCCTCGCACTAAGGTGGGCACCAGTATTTCCTTCTTTCTCCACGTAGATCATATTTCTAGAGGTAGAGTTTACTGATTGTTTCTTTTGAATTGTCAATATGATGATAGATCTGTCTCTCCGTACTCGTTGACCAAAGCACCTTGCTAAACGTTATTTTTGTTGGGACAATCAAATTGTGATTCTATCCTTGTTCTTTTCCCCCAATATGTTCTTTTGCTTTTTTTTGGGGGG